CCCCCTTTCCGCTTGTACCACCAGTTACCAACCATCCTGTATAATTGAGAGTACAGTATTTATGCTTTATGCTCTACGTGTTCTATATCAAACTATGACCAAACCATGATTCTTCTTATTTGTAAGTACTGTGTTTATAAAAGCGAACTGATTTTTCCATTTTTCTTAACGATCTTGAATAAGTATTATTAGCGTGATTTTCAACAAATATTGAAATACAATTGGCATTAATTTATTCTCCCCTTATTTCATGATATGTTCCGTTTTGAATTTTGTAAATATCATTCTTACATTTCTTTTATAATCTTTTTCTCAAAATTTGCCAATTTACATTAAAGGTAAAGTACAGTTATGTTATGTATTATGATATATATTATACAGGGTGGTTGGTAATTGGTGGCACAAGCGGAAAGGGGGATATTCTACGCGAAAAAAGAAGTCGAAAATATAGAATAAAAATTTTTCTTTAATTTTTCCATCGAGACAACAATCTACAGTGAGATCCGTTATAACGTACAGCACGCGTACCGAGCGAAAATTCAAAGTCGATTTTCTCGAAAACAAAGCCTCGAAGGAAAAATTTTTATTCTACATTTTCGACTGCTTTTTTCGCGTAGAATCACCCACTTTCCGCTTGTATCACCAGTTACCAACCACCCTGTATATATATGTATATTTATGTATGTATTTCGTTTTATGAGGAAATTATAGATGCCCAACATTCTATCTATCGTTTCGATAGAACAAAACGTATCACGCGTGATTCAATAAAATAGTCTAAAAGAGAAAATGTGGCGCGTCTATTATTTCCTCGTGAAACGAAAGAAACTTTTCGGACCACCTAATATTTATCTACTTATGGGGGTCTCCTGAATTAGAATGTCCTAGAACAGGGTTTTTTGTGATTTTTTTTTTAGGAGGGAAAGAGAGAAATGTAGTTATTGAATTTTAAGGTATGGTTTTATATATATTTAACGAACACAAAAACATTTTTTTTGAAGTAAAAAAGAAATTATAGCAGATTTCTAAGTCTATTTCATGGGCTGCAGTGTTCAATCGGAGTGAAAGATCCAGCTCGTAATTTTTGACTGAAACAAAAGGCCAAAAAAGGATTAAATTATTATATATTTTTCTTCTGAGTGAACTAAACAACGGCAAAAAAAAGTTTATTTAAATAATTGCTATAGCACCCTAAAGTTTATTTCTTTTTAAACACATTTTCTTTAAACCCGCCAAAATTTTTAATTTCACATTTTTTTCTGCCGTTGTTTAATTCACCCAGAAGAAAAATATATAATAATTTAATCCTTTTTTGGTCTTTTGTTTCACTCAAGAATTACAAGGTGGATCTTTCCCGCTGATTGAAGACTGCAGCTACAACACGCCTACGAAATAGGCTTAAAAATCTGTTATAATCGTTTCTTTTACATAAAAAAAAATTTTTTTGTATTCGTTAGATATATATAAAACCATACCTCGAAATTCAATAACTTCGTTTCTTTCTTTCCCTCCTAAAAAAAAATCACAAAGAAACGCTGTTTTAGAACATTCTAATTCAGGACACCGCCTTATACACATGATGCGTCGAGTTTAGCCAAATACGACAAGTGGTCAAAGAGCTGTTAAATCGTAGGTAATATGTTTAGCAGTAATAAAGTTTCTTGCTAGAAACTAAATTGTCCCTTAACCATGGCGTAAGCACGTTTCTAAAGTGATTAGCGTGGCTTGCTACGCGGCAAATGGCGAAATAAGGAGAAGCGTCTTCTGCAGTTTGTATTTCTTAATTGGCTATTTTTGTTCTCTTCTTTAAGATAAACGTCGATGTAACCAGAGTCCAGAGTTTCTACCTTTTGTTTGCTCCTCTAATTTTACATTCGGTGGAATTTTCTATTTTCTTCACAATCCGATGGCTTGGCGTTCACGTTGCCGCGTGTGGCAAATTCTACTCATATTAGCGCATATTAGCGTAAGCTTGACTAGCTATGCACTTTGATAGATAATTCGAATGCATCGATGGACGTGAACGTTTCTATGCAACCGTATAATTACATCCGACCGTGATTATCTAATTAATTAACGAATTAATTTATTACATCGAGTGGTAATTTTATCCGTTTCGCTGCTTTCCGATATAATACACCGAAAATTTATTACAACGAAGAGCATAGCTGTACTAGTAATAAATTGCAAATTGAAAAGTTGAAGGATCGACGACTTATCTTTCCTTCCAGACTTGATAGTATCCGTTTCAATTAATTTCACATTGAAATTCTAAATGAAGTCTGAGCAAGCTGCTTCGTTTCTCTGTTACAGAATCACCAGAATAGCGAAAAAAGAGTAAAGAGATGGGTTCAACGTAATTAACGAGCAAGAGTCGAGCGAACAGGAGGAACATGAGTATGATATTCGTCATTTGACTAGGACCATAAATCAGCAATATAAATTCAGTACAAAGAGAGAGGGAGAGGGAGAGAGAGAGAGAGAAAAAGAAAAGTTTAAAAATAAGTGAAAAAAAAAAATAACAAATGGATTAGAAATTCAGGAAGCTTTAATCTTTTAAGAAGAAAAAGGAAATTAAATCAAAGGGAATCACTTGCAAGGAAAGTACAATAAAGAGGAAGAAGATAAGCGAAGAGGAGCAAGGAACAAAGACAAAGCGAGGACAATCTAGAACAAAGTTACCTAATTAAATTAAAAACCGACATACATTAATTATATAATAGATTTAATCGATTGTACGTATTTCTATTGACGACTGAGAGTATATATATATATATGTATATGTATTCATCTATATATATTATATATTAAAGGTTAATACGAGAGATTATTATAAATCATTGTTAATGTTAAGGGATATTCGATGTTTTAAAATATTAACGAACGAGAATTAGTACGAGCTACGAAAAGCGAATATTTCGATTTTATGGATTGTATCGTCGATTTGATATTTAATTGAGAACAAGCGGAAAAACGAAATAATTTCCTAACGAAAAGGAGAAAGTATAAACAGAGAAACTATAAGCAGAATAAACGATAAAACGATTAAACGATAAAATAAAAAGGAAGAAACTAATCAATTTACGAAGAAACGATATTATTAGGCGAATATAATTCGTTGTACTTGAAAAATATATAATTATATACGCAGACGTTAAAAATATACTGTTGTATAGTTGTACGGGGGTCCATGTTTAAAGAGATTATCGAACAGAAGAAAGTTTGTTTTCATTGTTATTACTGGAAATAGAAGAGAAATACTAGCAGGGAAAAGAAGAAATCTTGAAAAGGAAGAAGAGTCTTTACGAATAGAGGTGATTATTTATTTAGTATAAAATATCTAATATTTTATACGATGGTAACTTATTTATTGCATTATTTTATTCTTCGTTATAGATTTGATCGTGTAATAGTGTTCTTTAAATTATTTTATTATTCGCATCTCGGGAATGCCATTTTCCCGATTCTTTTTTACAATAATTTTTAATGAAAATCAATCGAATAATCGAGGCATCGTAATTCTTTTAATAAAAGATGTTTTCTTCTGATTCGACGTATCTTCTTGTTAATCCTATTTTTGTTAAAACAAAGCTTCGTTTAAAGCGATAAATTTACAATTGCCGTTGCCTCGATTGCAAACTTATAAATATGTTAAACGAATACCAAATCAATATGTGCAACTTTTATACACATTCGTAATCGATAATCATGAAGAACAATTATACATATATTGAAATTTTATTACCACGAACGATAATTACGAGCAATTAATAAAATACGTATCGCGAAAATTCCTATTCTATTATTAACGTTGAAATATTGCGTTGTCATAAGCTTGGATTTCTCGTCATTAAAAATTCACTCCCCCGTTTAAGAACGTAATCACAAAACGTGTGCCAAGATGTGAAACTTGAAACATGATGGAATTGTGTCCACGTTAAAAGTTTACCCTGCCTCGTCATACGACAACCATCTAATCATTTAATCACTTTGCGTCAGTCTGAGCTTTAGAATACCTTCACGTGGGGGAGGATGCTGCTCTGAATTGCGAGGCCAAGGCGACACCAAGATGAATTTGGAAGTGGAACTTATCGCTGGGGTGATTAGGGGTGGACCACCCCCTAAAAATTTGCCCGCGCCGAGGCTCATTAAAATCTTCATCGCTGGAGAACGGAATGGTCTTATCTGCTAATCACATTCTTTTATCGATATTCTCACTTGCTTATGTCTGTTCCCTCTTAAATGACACGTTTTTCTTTCAATACAATAATACTTACGTTTTAATATCGCCACACATCGCTGCCTTTGTATTTGTTGCTTTACACAATTTTTGCCCTAACTCGAACGTTTAATTGTACGATCAGAGATTTGCATTTGACAAATAATTTGAAGGAGAGCGAAGAATCGGGTGAAATTTAGAATAGATTTTCTTGAAAAAGTAGAATTCGTTTTCTTTAATCGCACGATCAGAGATTTGTATTTGACAAATAATTTGAAGGAGAGCAAAGAATCGGGTGAAAAGGTTTTGTTGAGAAAGCAGCAGCGGAAAAATGTGTCATTTAAATGGTACGTTTATTTGTAACGCGTGTATCCTCGTCGTTAATTCATCAGGCGCCAATATCTCAAAGATAAATTATATTTATATATTTATAAATAATGATTCTTCTCTTTTAAAATTCCCATTTATTTGCTTAACACAGAAATGAAACGTTTTTAATTCATAGAATTCGTTAATGGGTTTTTAAACGAGGAAAGAAGAAGAGAAAAACGTTCGCAGCAACTCTGGTCGAGTTTAATTAACAATTTCGATCACGTTTCTAACAATCTTTTTTAATAGTTAATGTAGCTGCAAACAGTAAACGAGAAAGGTGGAAACAAGGGAATATGATTATTTCAGATTCTTTCATTCCAATATTGTATTAAACGAGAGAAAAGAGGCTAAATAGGAAAAGAAAAATGTTTGTTGGAAATATCTTTGGTGTCTGATGGGTTAAACCAATACGAAACGCTTCGTTTGTTAATTTATGAAATAAATCGTGCAATATACGTTGGCGTGCATATTTATTTCTGTGAATCGATGTGACCAATTAATTATTTTCTCAGTTCGTGTGTTCGTCTTGTGATATGCTTGTGTAGCTGTCGATTTTTCTTCACAATTATTTATCGAACCTGTTTGTCGGAAGGGGCTACGTAAACCTTGGCAAGATAATAAAATACAAATTTTCAAAATGATATATTTTCATTCTAAGAAAGAAGAAATATCTAAAAAAAAAAGAAAGAAAGAAAAAAAAAGAAATAAATAAAAAAAGAAAGAAATATCTAAGAGTAAATCTATCTAAACGTTCTGACTTTTTACATCGAATTTCATCTAACAATAAAACTTAGAAATAAATTTAGTACTTTCATTATCATTTATTTATCGAGTTTATCTTGTTCCATTTATTAAATTTTATTTATTAACTTATCGTTATTATTGTGCGATTCAGGCGATTGACGAATTTAATATTTAATTCTTATGAAGATATAAAAATATGCAAATCATAGGTATACGTAGCCCACATCAATTTGCTTGCGTTTTAGACGACGAATGTGTTTCTCTGTGTACACATACACGTTATTTCCTTTCGATGTCTGTATACTTGTCACGAATGTTGAATGTATTATACATTTACGTACATGTATATACACTGGTGTGCAAAAGTACTTGGATAAAAACAAATTCATAGCGCTCTTCTGTTGAAAAATCCGGAATCAAAGAAATTGCATTTCATTCTTTTAGTTAAGCACACGTTTTATAAAAGCAAACATAACACTGTTGTATTTAATAAATACTATTTGTTATTACATGTGTATGTGTATTACATGTGCACAATATGGTAAGGGTGCCCTCAGACAATTAATAATATTGTCAATGTTTCAAGGTTCTCACATCATTGTATGATATTGACGATACTGTATTAACAATACATATTGATCCTTTTAGTTGAGAGTGTTCAAATATTGACAATATACAGAGTGTTCACGGTATTAGTTCCCAGCGTTTTTCTTGTAAACGATAGGTATGAGGGGAAAGTGAAACCGAGCTGAGATGAGAGGTGAAACCGAGGAAAGATAAACGCTCGAAAGTGAACTATACACACGCGGTAATATCTTTTTCTCAAGTGCAAGAACGCACGTGTATCTCGCAGTTGCACTGGTCTTTTATAAATGGGAACTTTCCTCTTATTTTGCATACGTGGAATCCTCTCGTCGTTCTACGAGAACAAGTGTCAGGGTAACGTGATTATCGGGTCACTGATTAACGCGAAAGATATTTTATATATACATATAATGCAATACAATGAAATACAATGCAATATAATGAAATTGGACAATACAATGTACAATATAATGAAATTATACGATACAATATAAAATATAGAGAAATTAGTAGTAGAATATTATGAAATACAAGGAAAGACATAACGCAATAGTGTGTTTTCTATTTATGTACAATATAATGAAATTGTACAATACAATGTACAATGTAATGAAATTGTACAATACAATATACAATATAATGAAATTATACAATACAATATACAATATAATGAAATTATACGATACAATATACAATATAATGAAATTATGCAATACAATATA